AAGTTTTGCTAAGCAAGTGGCAGTGAAAGGAAAGTTGGTCCAGGACACAAGCACATTAATGCAGCAGCAATTTTTTTTTAAGAGCTCAAACAACTGGCATCTCGGTAGAAACCAGCCTCAATCGGAACAGTCATTCAAACCGACATGAAAGATTTAAAGTTTCTCATGATTGTTTCATTGCAATACAGCTGACTGGGTAAAGCGGAGCATATTTGCATTTCTACAAAATTCATTTATCTCTTAATTTTTTAACATTTGACACAGACACTGTATCTGGAACAGAAAAAAAATAAAACTAAATTCAATTGGCAAGCATAATCAATTATAGGATTAATTTAATTTGCATATGTATTTGGAAGCAAATACACACTCAATCAGCCATTAATTAATGCCTTGCCATTCATCTGTTAATATGCACAGTGCATCTAAAAAAATAAAAAATAACCAAGTACTATCATTAATATTTATATTCTTCAGTTCCCAGGATGGACACTTGCTGCATGAGTCATGCCTTTGAGATACCGCCTGGAATAAAAGAAAAAAAAAAAACCACCAAAACCTTATGTGACTCATGGTGCTTGTGTGCTATTGGATTGTTTGGTTGTGATGCCGTGCAGTGTGACATAAAACGACCTGATGTGATGGGATGTGCTCTGGCACCGGGCGACGTGATGCTCCGTGATGTGATCCAATCTACAAGTCTTATTCTTTTCATACAGACCAGCCGAAGCAGTAAAAACGCCTGTCGCCATGGAGCCTCCATCAATGCACTGCTGCCCTCTGTTTTTTTTTTTTTTTTAATGTATTTTTTTATCTCCATTTAACCTCGTATGAGTCACTAATCATTATATATACATTAAAAAAAAACAAAAAAAAAAATGTTCAAGTCTTTCATTCCTAAACCGACGGATGCTTTTGTCATGTACATTTGCTGCCTGCATATGACCCAGTTCAAGTATTGCGGTGCCCTATAAGTACAAACTTAAACAAAGCACGCAAGTCAGCAAATATTCCCTCTTTCAACTACTGAGATCTTAATTATTCATCACTTATGAATAACAGACTTTACCTCAAGCTGGCAACTGGGGGTATTTTTGCCCATAGAGGTTTGAATTAATTATGACTTCACAATGGGGAAAAGATGCAATTTTCATTCCTTCATTTTATTTTATGTCTTTTATTCTTTGCAGTGTGATGCTGCAAAGCTCCAAACGTGACTCAATAACTGAACTCTGGTTAGCTTACCTGCAACACTTTGCAGAGTATTTCACATTTTGACGTACGACAATCACAAACTGAAACGTATCTTCGTGGAATGTTATGTGCTGAAGAGACATAGAGATGCACGTGATTGAGAAGTGGAAGGGAAACGTGTTTTAACTCTGACACCACTAAATGAAGTCCAGAGCAACCAGCTGCCTGCAGAAATGGAGAATTGTAAATAGAGTTCACCGGGCTTGTTGTCAGCATCAACAATGTTGTTCTGTGAACACATCAGAGGCTTGTTAGAGATCATTAGCGAGAATGTTTTTTTTTTTTTTTTTTTTTCCCCATCAGAGTCAGCCTGGATGATAAAATGGATCGAGCAAAAAATGAGGAAATCTCGGAAGAGAACGTAGAGGGTGAGGCCGAGGCAGAGGCTCGCTTCCCGTCAGCACGACATCCCAAACGTACAGCCAGAGCTACAAGTGGAGGACTTAGATCAAAGTATATTAGTGCGTTAGAATGAACCAGTCAATGCCGAGGCCTAAAATTGTGATTGAATTTGTCGCAAGACCTGAAAAGTTCATATTCACAAACCCTCTCCATCTGATCTGATTGAGCTGTGTTTGTTCTGCAGGATATAATCTAAAAGACTTGAGGGATCAAAGCTGACGCAAACTGTGATTTTAGGTGGTTTAGGAAAGAAAAATCATGATAAATTCATAAATTTAATCAGGAGTTTGTTGTTATCTAAACATGTCTAAGATGAGAAAACCCAGCACTCATCAGGGAAGATGACATCAAGTCAGATTAATGAAGGCAACAAAAAGGGAAAAAATGGTCTGCACTGATGAGACATTTTCAGCACATTGGACAGCTCTGAGGAGGAGCCCTGCTGGCTTTGTAGCTGTCCGTGGGTCTAAAAAGGGAAAATTAAGAAGCTGGAGAACAGAAGAGAGCATGAGAGTGTTTCCATGCCCCCAAACTTCAAAATAATTTTATCCCCTGACGATTCTTCATCTGCATTAGGCAACACCTCTGGGTGATTCATCTTTTCTTTTTTTCCAACATGCTTTGATACCCAGAGATGGGTCAACTTTCTGCACAGTGCAGCATGCTGTACATCATCCCTTCATATACAAATAAGCTATGGCTTAAACCGTTTACCGCTAACAAATCCCCCACGAGGATGCAGACCTTCAACCACAATGTGTTTCAAAATAATGCATACCTTTGTCATATAACAAACTACACAACTTTTGATGTTGATGTTGTTTTGATTCATCAAAATATTGTATGGTTATGAAGTGGGAGGAAAGAGATACATGATTTCAATACTTTTTGTAACAAATTAAACTTAATGAAGTTTCTCTGTGGAAATATAAAAATGCATTTTAAAAACAAAAAAATATATATAACCCTCTTAATTAAAAACAAACAAACAAAATAAAAACTAAATATTGTTTCTTCGCCAAGATTTTTCATGTTTGTTTCTATGAAACCACCTGGCAGCACCATGCTGTGGGAATGTTTTCCATCAGCAGGGACGGGTCAGCCGGTCGGTGCTGATGTGGAGATGAATGGAGCTCAGCTTAGAGTAAAAGAAAACCCGTTAAAGGATGCAGCTTTGCATCTTCTGCAGCCTTCCAGCAGAACTTAAACGATAAACATACAACTAGAGATACAATACAAAAGGACAATTCAAAGACCTCGATGCAATTAAAAATCTGTGGCAGGTCTTAGAATATGTTTGTTCATTTAACTTTACTGACCTTGAGTTGTTCTTGCTGAGGCAATGAGCAACAAAAAAAAGTCAGTGTCTGAATGTGAAAAGCTGCTCAAACGAACACATTTGATCAGTTGACTTTAATCAGATCTATCAGATAATCTTAATAAGCAGAATTTGTGTCTAAATCAGATATCAGTTGTTATTAATTTAGGATAAAGACTAAGCAGTGCACTGCATTGTGTTGAACTGCCTCAGACCAGTGAACCCATCAATAAACAGGATGTTAAGGCGAACTAATGACGGCAATAAGAGACTGCCTGCACTGATTGGACATTTTCAGAACATTGGACAGCTCCGAAAAGGGGATCCTTTCGGCTTTTTATCTGTGTGGTGCTAAAAAAAAAAAAAAAAAGGACAAATCTAGACACTGGAGAAAAGAAGTAACGATTTTCAGTGTCTCTAAACTTCCGCAGATGATTTTCAGTCGCCATTATAAGCAACCCCTTAAGGCGGCTGCGTCTCTCTTTCTATATTTGAGACCGGGAGCTCATATCACAGTGTTTTCCGTAAGCAGTTAATAAAACGTCCTGCGGCTTGTTCCGGCGCAGTAAGGTATGGCCACATCTCTTTCCTCCCCGATCACGCGCGCACTTTTCAAAAACTCATTCCTCCGTGTTGAACGCAGACCTGCTCAGGCGTGATTCGGCCGCGTTCACGGCGCGGAGGCGCGCTCTCGCTGGTCGGCTGGAAGACACACCGCTCAACTTGGTTATGCGTCCATAACTATGCACCTGCTTCTTTTGTGCCTGCTCAATGCCACGTTACTTCAGTTGCCTCAGATCACAAGGCTGCTTTGAATTGCCCACAATGGTGCAGTGTTTTCCAGAAAAAAGAAAAAAAAAATGCAACATGCACTCAAAGATAAACAAAGAGATGAAGGAGAGTATATAGCGTGGCTCTTTCCCGTCTGTCCAGGCCTGGTGTGGTGTTAGAAAAGTGGGTTCAAAAATATTTAGCTCAGTTTATTTGATTACCGAGTGATTTACTGCTGCAACACCAAATGTACCCCCCCCTTCCCCCCTCTCTCTCTCTCTCTCTCTTTCTCTCTCTCACACACACACACACACACACACACACTTTCGTTCTAGAATTAAATGAAAAGATGAGGGTTTGATGCGTCGAAGACAAAGCAACATGTCAATACAGCGTGGCCTAACAAGTAAATATCAACTTCTTAAACTTGTCAGTGAAAATTAGTTCTATGCGACCGGGTTTTCACCGAGCCTCTGCCGAGATATTTCGGCTGCATGCGGTGCCGGTTTTCACAGATGCGCCCCTCCGACGCTTGTTCCACTGGGAGGGAGTCTGGGCGCATGATGGAGTGACGGCGATACTCTCTCGGAAATTGTAATGCTTCAGCCAGCGGGGGGAATTATTAACTGTTGCTGTTTTCTTTTCTTTTTCCTTTCTTCTTCTTCTTCTTCTTCTTCTTTTTTTTTAACTGACACGCCTTGTTTTTGGAGAAAACGTCTGGAAATGTCAAGTTAATCACCGAAATATCTGTCGGAACGAAATGGGATAGAAAGAATTGCGCAACATTTCCTTGGAAATGAACGAACTACAGAGATTTTTTTTTTTTACCATTTGTCAGAAGATGCTGGGTTTAACATTTTCGTCTTCTTGTACTGTTTTTTTTTTTTTTTTTTTTTTTTTGGCCGGGTCCCCTGTCAACGTGACCATGATGGAAATAAGTGTTCCCAAATTCCTCTGCGCATACGGTTTAAACTGCAACTCTGATCATTGATTATATCTGAAATCCAATTGCTACCTGAAGGTGATTTGAAGCAAAAGTTGGCTGACTGTGCTTGGATTTTTTTTTCCCCCTTTATTTTTTTCTTTTTTCTTTTTTCTCTCGGTTCAGTGAAAATGTGAGTTTCAGCGCGCACCAGACAGTCGCCAAAGGCAGAACCCAGATTTTCCACCGGGGGGGAACCGGGCTTTGTACCGCAGCGACGTCCTCACCGTTCTTCTCGCCGAAATGCCTCTGGGTGCACCGATTCCGTAAAGACACAAGTGGATATTGCTTCTCCATGGTGTTCAACGACCAGGTGCATCAGAGAAGGCAATATCTGGGCTGTTTTGTGCAGTAAATGCTGGACACACCTTTTTGAATGTCCGTCAAGGTAAGTTACCTACCGCCGACGTAAAAGGCTTATCTCATGTGGCTGTGTGGGACTAGGAGGGGGTTATTATGGAATATGTTTGTAAAACCTGAAAGAGAGCGTAGAGAGGTAAAAGTCTTGCCTACATTTTCAGTCGCTGTGATCCGGCAAGTGATGCATAATGTTTCAAGTTTTAGCTCCGAGAATGTGATTTCTGTTGCCATGAAAAACGCTCAGCAAACACAGAAATTTGTGGAAATTCTTACTGTATGATCACATCCAAACTGCGGTTTTCATAGAATCTGCCATACCGTGATTCTGTCCATAAGGATCATAACCCAGATGCCATCTTCTCTAAGGCACATTTTTTCCCCCTCATAGTTATCGATAAATAAGCAGCTAACAAAATTGTTGCATCTCTAAAAGTTCAGGCCTTAAATAAAATGTCTGCAGGTCCATTGGTGCAAAGTGGGGACTGAAATAAAATATTATCAAAGTTAATTTTGAACATTTTTCCCAGCTTACTTCAAGAGAAATGTTAAGTAAAAAAAAAAACTGCTGCAAGTATCTGATCAAGCTCGCCATAGAGTGGTGTCACCAAATTTCTCTTCATTCATTCCTTACTCGCTTACTAAAAACATACCATCTTTCATCACGGTCCTTAAGCCATGCAGATGTGCAAGCTTCTTGTTTGTGCTGCACAAGTTTAAAATATGATGCCCATTGTGCCAATCCTGCCTCTTGTAATTTCTCACATTTGTTTTATTTTATGCACACACATAAAAGACACAACTGAGGGGCTGCCCAGTTGGTTGCACTGTTATTTTGCAGCAAGAAGGTTCTGGATTTCAATCCCAGCCTGGGGTCTTTCTGCATGGAGTTTGCACGATTTCCCTGTGAGTGTGTGTGTGTGTTTGTGTGTGTGCATGGTTGTTTGTCCTGTCTGTCTCTGTGTTGCCCTGTGATGGGCTGGCAACCTGTCCAGGGTGTAACCCGCCTCTCGCCCATTGACCGCTGGGGATGGGCACCAGCACTCCTCGTGAACCCACTAAGCATGTAAGCTAATGGATGGATGGGCTGTTAAAACTGACCAAAGCTGCAATGGGCCACAATGAAAAAAAACATAATGTTCTGGCAGATTAATGTAGAATTATGGTTAATCCTAAGGAATATTTGCATAAAGGCAACACTCTTCAGTCAGAAAATCTTGGTCTGAATTTAGTAAGAGATAATAGGGGCAGCAGACTGGGGGTCCCAAGATCCTAAAAAGCCCTATAGGATTTTTAGGGACCATAAGGGGTTCCCTAAAATTACATCCATATTGGGTATATCCCAATGACACCGACTCCCCTGAATTAAGCCCCACAGACTATAAAATGCAATTTATATGAAATTAACTCTGTTTTCCATAGCAAAACTTTAAAAATAAAGGTTATGCAATTTTGTTCAACTTCCCTTGCAATGACATTTCCTCTTACAATAAAACGTAACCTGGAGGTATACCTTTCAGTTTTGCTGCAGTCAGTGTTTGGTGAAAAGAAACAAACAAACAAACAAAAAAAAAAGCATGGTTTTATTTCAAAACTACTTCAACAGTTTTTGCGTGATACTGAGTCAATGTTGAGTTGGTGTTGGGTAGAACCTTTGCAGGCATGAATGGCTGTTGTTGGTACAGACTGCCACAGGGCGGCAGTATAAAAATTGTAACTTTGGGTGTATATTATTTAGGGCTGTTGTAAACGAATATTTTAGTAAT